TATGCACGAAAAAATTATTTCTTGTACTTGTTTGGTAGTAAATTACGCCTTCTTTAAATTTTACACTCAAAAAAGTGTAGCTTTTGGTTATAAAAATTTGCTCGAAAGTCGAATAATTTTCTAACCTAGTGACTGCTACACTCGAATTCAAGGTCTTAAGACTGCGCTTTGTGTACATCCTTTTTAAGGAAAAGTACGTTTTTGCTTATTGTTTGAGAAAGGAATCACATTTTTGTCATAAATTATTTAAATAGATGCGGAACATATTTTATGCAGTGTAGGCAGCATAAATAAATTGACGGATACGATTATACTATGACTAAACACCTCACACTTGTAAAAAATCTCATAATTAGCAACTTCGTTAACAGCGAAAGCTACCTTTTCTTTCAGTATTACAGTTAAACAAGGCTTTATTTGCTATCACAAAAGTACAATAAATAATTTTTTCGTGCATGTTTTCTATAAAATATATTCGAATTTATAAAGGAATTCAAAATCAATGATAAAAGGCACACTACTTAAGTAGCCAGTTTTTACAATAGATACTTTTTGCTGGTAGTCAGAAAGATTGTTAAAAAGCCCACATTCTATCAAGACGGAATAAACTTCGGAATAGACTACACGATAATCAGTGTCACAACCTGAGTTAATACCGATAAGCGAAAGAGTATCAGTCTTTCGCCTATGTCGAAATGTTGCATGATCCGCGGCGTCTACTGTTCAGGTAGCGTATGCACACGTGTCAGCTAACGAAACCGAAAGACCCACTGCCACGACAAGGAACATCTGGAGTTGTCTACAGGATCTGGTGCAGTTGCAGGCAAAGTGAAGATGTCGCAGAAACTGGCAGACTTCACAAGAGGCGAATTGCCGAACCCGCAGCAGGAGCGCGGCGAAATGATACCAATTTACAAGCTGCGGCTCATTAGACGAGATCCGACCACGCATTGAAATGTGATGAGGCCGAAATTTTCACACGAGATGACACACCGATAAGCCGAGAATTACTTGAGTCATGGTTCACGGGCTCCCAATCCATAAACAAGTGCAATGGTTTGTCCAATCCATATTCAGTGCTGAGACTCAATTTGGCCGATGCAAATCGCCACTTGGGCAACGGAAATGCGTCCGCGTCATTTTACGCCAACACCGATGAGCCAGGTAGCCTAGCGAACATCACGCCTGAGCCCACCGCGCGTGATGAAAGTTCAGCAGGTAAGATCCCGCATGCCGTTCAACAAACTATCAACATGCAAGAAGACAATTCGCGTTAATTTTCGTTGTATGTTTACAGTAATGATTTCATGCTATAAACACAGCAATCTTCTCTGCCCGTATCTGCTACTGCTATCTGACTATGTCTTTGCTGAAAAATCTGCGACAGATCTCGAATCGTCAATCGAATGAAAGTATTGCCCTGGCGATTGTGTCGTCTTCTTATCAGGTGTTATTCACGCAAACTGAAGTAACAAAATCGAGGTAAACCAGACATGATTGTTCCTGCTGCCCTCAGTATATGACCTACTGAAGTCGCGTTCTTAAAAGAGGATGGGGAACGAAGAAGACCTGTTGCAGAACGAAAGTTTTTTGGATCTCGCCGTCCAACACTTTAGCCAAAACTCACTGCGCAATGCTCAACTCATCGTAGCCAAAACTATTGTAAGCAAGTAGTATGTATCCTCAGATGCCACACACTCTTGCTATTATTGGGCTGTTTGGCCATGATTACAGAAGACGTCCCGTGTCACGCAATATTTCGACATGGGCGAAAGATTAATATTCTTTCACTAATCTGTATTGACTCAGGTTGTGATACTGACTATCGCTCACTCAACGGGACCCGGCCACATTTTAAATTCTGACGAGGCCGACATCCTTTCAAGAGGGGACAACGGCGTGAGCCGCGAGCTGCACGAGTCATGGTTCTCAGGTCCCCAGTCCATCAAGAAGCGCAACGATTTGGCGTTCCCATACGGTGTATTGCGAAATGTACTGAGCAAGAGAATCAGTCACGTGGGATTGACTGGGCGCAACAACAACTCTGACGACAGCGAGCATAAGTGTCGCGCAATTATCAAACCCGCATCCGACGTGGACAAGAACGCTGTGGCAATTGATGAGCAATCACCGCACCAATTAAGACCTCAAGCGGTGGCTACAAGAACTGAAAATTATAATACGCATGCGGGTGACCGCTCTGAACTATCAATACCGTGTAACCTGTGCACGTATTACCCCTTATCTGCGCATGGCTCAGACTTGTTCACAATTACCTATAACTAAGGATTCCCGCTTAAATCCAAAACGTCAGGACAATAAAACTCTTGTTTCAGGGATCGCTTCTTTTTCTTCTACTTCTACTTCTTCTTCCTCTTCTTCTTCTTTTTCTTCTTCTTCGAAACTGACTATCGTGCAGTTTATTATCAAGATTATTCCGTCTTGAAGGGATGCGGGCTTTTTAACAAGCTTCGTTCTGACTACCAGCAAAAATTATAGATATTGCAAGAATGGGCTACTTAATAAGTATGCCTATTTATCTTTTATTTTGACTGCCTTTATAAATTCAAATATATTTTATGGAAAACGCATACGAAAACATTATTTTTTACTTGTTTTATGACAAATTAAGCAAATCTGCCAAACCAACTTAATAATTAAGTCAGCCTAGTATT